TAGAAAAAGATGAGCCTTAGGTGTGCAGATTTTGAAGTTCTGGGCAAAGCCCTAAAAGAGTGCAGAGTAATTTCATCGTGAGCGAATTATTTCAGCTGTAAAGGCTAAGGCCGTTAATTCACGAAACTCTTCAAAAATCGGACTCTTTCTTGTTGGCGATAAGCCTTGGCTGGCTTAATCCAGGATATATTTTACTTAGTGCTAAATGCCAGATCGCGTCATGCAGCAAAAGCACACATGCGTGCTACACGGCATCTGACACTTTACTCTAATTATTCCGTGTTGCTTCCATGAATTCTCCCCTCTCGAAAATAGAAATTTTCATCACTTAGTGCCTTCTAGTTCTAGTACAGGTCGAAAATATGTGCCTACGAGAATAATATGGCTGTGTGCGCCCATTTTTATACCTGTTTGTCCATATCCCAAAAAAAAGATCATCCTAAGATGAAATTTTGCGATCATATTTCCTGATCATATGCAAGCCTGCAGATTTTTGTTGTCCTGGCTTATCATCACTGGTTCCAATCTGAAATAGAGTAGCAAGATTTCACTTGAATGTCGCGTGTATGAAAATATTTTATGACGCAGTCTGTGTTTTTTTTTTTTTTTACAAGCCAGAAACCAAAACAAATCAGAAATCAAAAAATTTAAAACAAATTTTTTTATCAAGCAATGCGGAATGAATAAACTTGATTGGAGTCGCTATTGATTTGCGTGTGCTCTTGCTTTCGTTTACTTACCAGAGGCTTACAAGTAGCTTAGCGTCGCTTGGCTCCTCAATCGCCTTTTGAATTAAGCCTGACGTGTTGATTCAAAATTTCCTTTTAACAGCGTTTAATAGCTGGAAAGAATGTCCCCTTTTCCACTCGTAAAAAATACCTGTGCTTTTTGAGATATAATATTAATGCAAAAATATGTTTTTAGTTGTGTTGTTCTTCAATAGTTGGTATATTTAGGAAGGCTGCTTGCCGGTTCAGTACGCGAGTAAACAAAATTATAAATCAATTCTCTACAGCGCGTTTGGTTCCACTATGACATCCGGTATGTTTTTTTGCTTTCACAAAAAAACTTCTTAAGCCATGGTACGAGAAAAACACAATAAGTCTGCTTTTTGCATGATCGATTTCCTCAAGTAGAAAATCAAAACCGTCGGGATCTGCCAGTTTAAATTTTCGGTCTATCTGATATTATAAAGCTGTATCCAGCTTATTTTTTCTCTTAATCTAATTACACAGCTTTAAGATTTAATGGCCATCCCTGTTTGTAAAT